TATATATATATATATATATAAAGTTTTAAAGACTGTTCTAAAAGATAAATGTAAAGTATGTATGATAATAATTTAGAATATAGTTACAAGGTTTCCTAGCTAAAATAACACTTGCATTTTTATATAAATAACACATCAGGGATTAAATTGTTGATCTAGGGGGGAAAACTTCTGAAAATGCTAAGATGGTAAGATACGAGGTGGACAGCAAATGTGAGGTGATGGTATTGTTGAGGTGGTTGTTGCAGTAATACTATTAGGGAATACATTTTTTTTCAGCACTAGAGAAATCCCCAGTGTCTCATGTATGCTAGGCAAGAGCTCTATCACTGAGCTACATTTCCGGCCCTAGAAAAACACTTTGAATGAAAGGTGAACCTGTCCAGCAAACCTGTCTATTTATCAAAAACCCATGTGGATTCCTGCTGTAGCCCACCAACACATACACTCACACACACACACACACACACACACACACACACACATGTGAGCATGCCAGTGTAAATAACCATTATACTTCAAAGCAGGGACTGCACCTAGAAAAGCATTGCACACATTACAGCATTCTGACATCATATAGCAAATTTTCAGAATCTGCCCACTGGTTATTGTGATTTGCTCTGGTGTTGGTGCAAATATTTATAAATACTCTCTGTAATGGCAAACCCATTCCTTGAAGGGGGATTTGATTTTTTAAATAGCCACAGTCATTGGTTATAATGGCAAAAAAAGAAACCTTCCAACTCATAATTTGGAGACATAGAAGGAACCTCGATCTCAGCTCACAGTTGCCAAGAAACTACATGATGCAGGTGCAAATCATCATTTTCCCCCTCTTAAATTTGGACTCATTAAAATCTATATTTTCAGAACCCACTAATGAAGATAAGTTGGATAATCAAGCTGGCTCATACAACATGTACTAAAAAAGAAATATGGTTTCTCAAGTAATGAGGATTTTCTCACATATTAACAAGGAGCTCTAAAGACAATTCCAAAAGAGAAGATTCAGAAATAGTTTGAGTTATAGCAGCAAATCTGAAGGAAATTTATATTTTTTTAAGTAGATACCTTTGATTTTGCTCTGCTCAGGATTTGTTTATTAACAGCAGTATTAGTTTTCTTAGTCCTGTCTTGGGGAGTACCGGGGATTGAACTTGGGACCTTGAGCTTGTGAGGCAGGCGGCAGCATCCCTGAGCTAAATCCCGGGCCCTTCTTAGTCCTATTTAGTAGTTACACTATCTTTAAAAAATGAATGGCTGAAGTCTCAAGAAACTTCTGAATATTTGTGTCTCAACACCCTCTTCTTCCTACAAAGAGCTTCACCCACATCTGGATTTAACTCTTGCCTCGGATGAAAACTATAAAACCTGTGTTTCTAATGCAAAAAGAGAGAAAGAGGAAGCAAGAGAAAGAGAGAGAAGGTGCACAGGAGTTATGGCCTCTCTAACTGAAGGGCCTATTCTTATCATTTCTATGAAATTGTTAGATACCAGAGGTCTATCTTGCACAATTTGTTTATTGCACCAGAGAGAATAAATTGAACGTGGCATCCCAATTAGTACTTTCTCTTTTAGATTCAGCCAAGTGTGGAATTATTTATGCTGACCATTACAGTCAGGGCACATTTGTCCCCTACATAATTAAAGAATATTACAAAATTGGGATGGTTACTGAGAAGTCATCCAACTCATTTACCTGGCAGCAGATGGTTCATCTAGAGGTGTTCCTTTGGTGTAGACTCAGTCCTCAGTGGCGGGAAGTAAGTGCATGAGGATGTCTTTTGATTAAAGCAGATCAGTGGTGGGAGTATCATCAAGCCTTTCCTTGCATCTGCTCTTGCCAGTCTTCAATCTAATCTCACTGTAATGCAAATAGATTGTGCTTTAGAAAACAGACCTAATCGTGCCATGCTCCTCTTACACGCCTTCAAATGGCTCTTAGGAAAAATGTCAATGTTTTTGCCCTTCCTACAAGGTCCTCAGTCCCTTCCTGCCTCCCCAGCCTTGCCTCAAACCTCTCCCCCTGCACTACATCATAGAGACTGTGCAATTATTTGCATGTGCTACTCTTTCCCATCCTAGGGCTTGTCTACTACTGTAATTCCAGCTCAGAATGCCCTTCTTCCTTTCCTATCACTCAGTTCACTCATTCTTCCTTTCATTTTAGCTATGGAATGCCTTTCACCTCCTGACCTTTCTCCACAGAGGAGGTCAGCCCTCCCTGCTTCATCATAACCCCAGGTCTGCCTAACTCAGAGCTATCTATTCACAGTTACTTATCAGTTTTAACATTGCACCTTAGTATTTAGACTATTTGAGTAATTAATATTGGATTAAATAGAATATATATCTCTCCTACCAGATTTTAGGCTCCATGAGATCAAAGGCAAGGTCATTTGCTTGCTATTGCGTTCCACTGGTACCCAGGAGGCAATGAATAAATTTTTACAGAACTAAAGGATAAATGACAGGGCCAAGCATATACATGTGCAAAGATCAACTATGAATGCACTGAGAGGATATAGCTGTAGCAACATCAACATGAAGAAGGAGTGAGTCTCCTTCCCACAGTGTCCCCTACTCCACTAGCAGTAACAGAGTAATAAAGTCTAAACATGTGGCTTTCTGATCACCTTCCCTTTTGCAGACTTGAGGGTTAGAGAAATTAGACAAAAATGTGGCTAGCTCAGCTCTTAAGTGATCCCTTGCATATACCAATTGTCACCACTTGTTCACTAATACGAGCTACACGATGGACATTTTAAGAGTCTAGTAACAAGTATTTAATATGAGAAATTCCATGGTGTTCATGAAAATATCTGTCCTGTAGGTATGTCAATATTAAAATTTAATTATAAACAATAACATTTGAGTTTTATTCTTACCTTAATGAAGGAGCATTGTACTTCTGCATGAGGTAGAATAACTTATTGACACCATGACAGAAACAGTGATGCTGGAGAAGAAAATACATGGGCTGTTCTTCTTGTTCTCTGAATAAAAGATGTAATCAGAAGCAGTGGTTTCATTAAATACACACATGGCCCTGTAATGGGAATACAGAGGACCAAATGGCCAGGTGTGGACTGAGACGAAATGAGATGGGTATTTGCAGTTTACCAACTAACTACTTAATCTGTATGGATTACATTAAGTACTTACAGGACCAAATGAACACATTTGCAGAATGAAATTCTGGCTTTGTGTCCAGAAGCATCATTCTCATCACCACAGAGAAAGACTATTTTATCGTAGTTCTGCAGGGCAGCTGTGCCTAAGTGTTAATGATGTATATTTATCACACTACTGCTCAAACTTGACTCCATACTGGAATCACCTGGAGTGGTTTTCATTAAAAAAAAAAAAAAACTAATGCCTATGTCTTACCTCCAAAAATGTTGATTTAATTGGTTTGGGGTATAGCTTAGGCACTGAGAATTTTCAGAGCTCCCCAGGTGACTGTAAGGTGTGGTAACATTTGAGAAACATTGCATTTGTATGATTCCTGTATTTTCATAAATAGGGACACTTTATAGACCAATAAGAGAAGGAAGAGATTGTGTGGTATCATTTTAGGAAGGCTTAGAGTGTCTCTTGCCTCCAAATAGCTATTCATGTCTTTAACATAATGTTTTGAAAACTACCTAAAAAAATTCATTTCTTTGGATATGGAAGCTTTACAACTTACATGAGGATACTTCCTCTGAGAAAGATAATACATTAAGTAGTTATCAGTTATTAATACTTTGCTGTGCTCTCCTTTATTGAATTACTTTCCTATATGGAGGCGTAGTAAGGGGCAGGGTTGGGTTAGGTTGAGAGGCTCAAAGATATGGATTCAAGGTGAGTTCCAGGTGTGAACAATGTGACAAGAACAATGCACAGTTGAGCTGAAAAGGTGAGTACATAACGATGATAAACTTGATGTTGTCTCCTGAAGTTTAGAGGATGCTGACACAGATCAAATGTCCAAGAGGATGTGGTCAGTGACAAGTCCTACCCCAGCTGCAGACACAAGAGAATCTCCAAACCAGGCTTGATGTTGGTGCCTGAGAGTGAGCAGAAGTCAAGCTGGGTGATGCTGGAGCCCTTGGAGTCCTGACCAAAAAAAAACAAAACAAAAAACAGAAACTGGCTAGATTTGAGGAGGTCAAGATACCACAGAGCCAAGAGAATCCACATAAGGTTATAAGAGCAAGGAGGGCCTTGATAAGATGCTGTGGATCGTAGAGAAGTTTCCTCTGGGTCCTCCACACCAGTTCCATATTATAATCTTAGCTGCTGGCAGAAAACACCAGGAGGAATCAATCTTCCACTTTAACTTTCAATAGCACACTCTGAAGTGGCAGAAGTGTGGGAAGAACCAATGTGGGGACTGGAATACATTCCCCAAGCTTAACAGTTTGTCAGGAGTAGGTCCTGCCCACACATTTCCCCTGCAATTTCCTCATCTCTTTTATACAGACTGGACGTGCACTCAGCAGGGATCCCAGCTATATCCTGCATGGCTGGGTCTCTGGCTGGACAGCGACAATGACAGCATGAAGAGGTGGTTGCCCAGACCCCAGGCAGGCTCTTCTGCACTGTAGCTGAATGACTTTTGAATAGCACTGACTTCAAAGAAACCTCTCCCTGCAGGTCTAATGAGCCCCCCTGGGAAGCTCTGGATGTGAATGGAAATCACAACTTGACAAAAATGACAAAGATTACGTGTCAGCAGGGCTGATTTGATTCTTAATGGAGTGTTAATTTATTTGCTGTGATTTCACAAATCTGCCTTGGTCACAATGGCATAGTACATTAATCTGAGATATTACTACACAAAGGTATATTTTCTGTACACAAGATAGGTAAAGAATGAGGAATTTGTACTTGTGTGTGTGTGTTTTTTAAAGGGTAACATACCCTTTTATTCAAAGGACTAGTAGGTAGAAGTTGTGAGATTTCCCCATCATTTGGGTATACAGTCTCTTGGGGCAACATACAGTTTTGCAATTGGGTCTGTGAGATTGTAGAACAGACTCTGGTTAGTCCTGGTTCACAAGGCAAGCCACATGTTGAAGGCTGCTTAAGACTAGTAGATTGGACAACTTTATCTCCTTTGGAAATACAATGGATCCCTTGACTTACAAACTCAATTTCTTCCCGAGGGCTGGTTGTAACTAAGGTTGGTCATTTGCCTTCAAAATCTCTCTCCTGTATAATTTTAGGCCACACTTTCTTTCATCAGATGTTAGTGTCCTTAGAGAGACATGATTCTTCAATTAACCCCTCACAGGAAAGGATGTTGTAATGCTCCTTCTATAACTCTTGAGGGTTAAATCTGTATCTGAGACCATCTGGAAACACAAATGGCTGGCATTCAGGTCATAAATCAAGACTTTGTCAGTAAGTTAAAACTAAAATTCTGGTCATAAACCAAGTTGTTCATATGCTAGGCCAGTCATAACTCAATGGTCCACTGTATTACTTTATATACATTTTTGTCTAATTGTGTTTCCCTAAGCATTTGAGCTGTCATTTAAACATAGGGCAGGAAACACACACAATCACACACACACACACACACACACACACACACACATGCATTCACTTTGTAGGAAGAGTAGATTTCATCTGTCTCTTATAATCAAGACTCACAAGATAGGTCGTTTGCCCCTTTAGATGACAATGTGACATTTCATTAGGAAACAGACATAAGTAGGCCACTGAGAGAGATAAAGTTTGATTAATCCTAGCTTGTTTGTGAATGAAATGTTGAGGACTTTAGCACAGAGACCGATCTCAAATAGGTTGCTGTCTCTCCCAGTCACACAAATCCCAGAAGACTACAGATGCTGGTACTTCCCAGGGGAGATATATCCAGGGCTGTGATCAGCTCTTTAAGGCCACCTCTCTAATGTGGCAGCCCAGCAGCATTTGCGGACTAGTTTAGCAGGTGTTGGGAAAACAGCCAGGGGGAGAAAATGGGAATGAGAGCAGAAGGGCTGGAAGTTAACAAGGACACTTTCTACTGAGGGGTCCAGGCTGTCCTCAGGTTGCTAAGGATTTTTACTTGACAAAAGGAACTCCTTTTCCCTCTCTGACTTGTATGCTGCTACTGTCAGGAGGAGAACTGGGACCAAAATCTCCCAAGTTGAGAGGAATGGAAAGCCAGCATAGCTACTTGTGAAGAGTTGTTTCTATGACGCTAAAGATACTACGGTATGAGGTACGTCTTCTCGGCCCCAAGAATTTATTTTCCAGTAGAGTACATTAACCTCGATTCTTACAGCACACAAAGTTCCACTGAAGTTTCACTTACCAAATATTTGAAGCAGTAAAGCTAAAGGTTTACCTTGAAATCTATAGTTGAAAAAGAATGAAATTATAGGCATGAATAAAGATAAAATCAAACCCAGATACACCTGTAGTAAATGGGATTATTCTTAGAAAATACATTCCACCTTTGAATTAGAATATTCAGCAGTGCCCTTTACTACATGATTTTTCAGTTTTTCCTACTAGAGGTGGAGAATATTTTCCTGCCCAGTTAAAAGATATTACTGCTAAGACATGGATTTGCAAGGTTGGACAAACCAGGAATTATTTTTCTTTAGGTGCTTGCAAGTGATGATGTCTCCATGATCCAAGACACCTCTATTCCCTTTTCTAACCTCAAAGGTTATATTCTTCAGCCTTTTAAATTGTTTTAACTGTTTTCTCAAGGACTCTATGTCAGTTCCTTCATATCTTTTCTCCTTGTTGCTTATATGACTTTAGGCAAGCCACCTAAACTTTGGGTCAATTTTAACATCTATGAAAAAAGGAGGTGGGATTTCCTGATTTCTGGAATTCACTCCTACACCAGTACTTATGGAAGGAAGTACTATACATTCTTAAAATTTTGTTGTTACCAGAGTCAGTGATTAAAACATTAATAATACAGGCACTTAAAATTCACTTGCATAGATTTTAATTTAGCACATTTTAAATGGGAGCCCCATGTCTGTATTTTTAATGAATACACCCACATGGTCTAATGAACACTAAGGTTTACTCTATGAGTTCCACTGTTATTCACCTAAATTCTATTTTAATATTGCAGAATGAGTTTCAAGTAAAAGCCACTGGAAAGAACTTTCCTACCAATTTAATGGACAGCTGACAATTCAGTACCCTAGTGTTTGAAAACTGTACCATGGGAATTTTCAAAGTGTACTGTTCTGCAATCTATGTCTTTAGGGTCACTATCTTTAGGGCCTTGGGAAAGCAAAAGTATAGAACATAATGACTTTAAGTTTTGTAGCTTATTGTGGGATATTTAAATATATTAGGCAGACTTCCTTTGGGACTTCCTCACTTTTCTCTCCTTGTCTGAGATTTTTTTTCCTCTGAGTATGACTACCAGCAAAGCACACCAAGTTTAATTTGGGGTCCTATATTCCATCAGAAAGCCAACTGGACAATAAGATATCAATTTATTCCTACCCTTGTATCCTCTCCACGCCCAGAAGGAAACAAGAATATCTGTCTTCACCCAATGCTCTATTTATACCCTACACTTTTCTCCATTTTTAGTGGACTCTTACTCATCCAGTGAAAAGAATAAAGGAACGTCTGGGTAAAGGATTCAGCCCTAGGAGAAGACCTTGGTGATTCCTCTGATACCAGAGCTTGCGTCATGTCTTTAAAAACCATCTATGTAGAAGTGCATGTGAGTGGATGCGAGCCCACACCCTGCAACCCTTTTCCCAGACCCTGGTTCCCCAGCTACCCAACTTCCTTGGCTGTTCCACAATTGAAAATCCATTGTGGTGTGGTCTTCTGTAATACACATGTGCACTATGATCCCCATGGATAATTAAAGCTGAATTATATGCCTAAAACTAGTTATCAACCCTTTCACAGTTGCATAAAGGATGACAACTTCTTACCTCACAGTGCTTTCGGTACATTTATATGAAATACTTCCAACTGCAGTGTCTCCTAAAACTGACCTCTGAGCTAATTAGTGGTTTGGTGTGATCCTTTCGATATTCCAGCGACCAATTAGAGTTGTTCTAGACAGAACTGACAACAAAATGTAAAAATAAGAACAGAAACCAGGATTGCTCATTGAGGGAGGAAAAGCCAAGGTTGGACAAGGAAAGTGGGGGGTGGGGAGAGGCTGCTAGCAGAATAAGGAGTCTTCTTAAATTCAGATTAGACCATGCCGACCTGAAGTTTACGCCCCTTTCTCATTAGTAAGATAAAAACAGAAACGGCAGGGGATCCGGGTTTGTGCTGGGGAAGTAGGATCTTTAACCGGGACCACCTCGTTGCTAGGCGCAGTTACACACTTTCCTCCAGCCCTTGTCTCAGGAGGCTTCACGCCTGCGGTTATGCTTCAGCCTGAAACGACTCTCCTGCGGCCTTCTCACCCTGGCTCTGGACCCTCCGAGTCTCAAACGGCAATCTCAATCTCAGCCCCGCTGTCTTTAAAAAGCTCCCTCCCCCAACTGGCGTCTCCATCCAGAAAAGGAATCTCGGTTGTCTCCCCGAAGGCAGAAGCGAAAGGTGAGGGATGCACGGCGATCAGCTGCCCACTCACACCCTTCCCCATTCGCCCTCGCATCTGCTCCGGGCTGCCCTTCCTCCCGCGGGGGGCCGGCAGTCAGGTGAGGTTACCTGGGCTCCTCGGGAAGCCCCAAGGGGCGCTGCGGTCCTTCCTCTCAGAGTCGCCCCGCTCCCAGCCAGGCCCAGGGACTCTGGCCCCTCTCCCCCCGCGCGCGTCCCCGACCCCTCGGGCTCAG